GTGCCCGTGCCTCATCATTCGGGCCTCACGTCCTCGGCAGCTCGTTCCGAGCTGGCCGAAGCAGCCGCAGCGGCGCGTGCCGAGCCGCGCCCGCCTTTTGACTGGCCGACCCTCGAGAAAGGGGACGCTCTGCCAGCCGAGATCGAAGCAGGGGCTCGCCGCGCCTACCGTAACATGGGCGGGTCCTTCAGCTCGGCGCGGGCGATGCTGGCTGAGGCGTCGGGGTTCGAGACCGACGGGCGGGACGCCCTCGTTCCGCCCTTCTACGCGTCCAGGCGCAGGAGGGCCGCCACACTCATCAGCTCTCCGAGCCCTGGCCGCCCTGCGCTCATCCCGTGGTGCGTCTGCGGCCTCTGCATCTCTCTGGGAGCCGCGGCGCCGACCGCCGGCCAAGGGCTTAGTGGAGCTGCGCCGCCCGCGCCCGCTCGCCCTCCGCGCACTCCTTTCGTGCGCGATTCTCACCTCACCTCCGCGTATCTCGACCGTCGTTCGAGATCGATTGATGCCTTCGAGCTGTGGTTAGCAGAACACACTGGCGTGCCACCCGCCACGCTTTACCGAAGCGGGATACTTCTCGCCCGTTTCCTAGCGACCTTCGGCGTGTGGCTTCATGATGCAGGTTTTCCCCATTATATTTTGGTCCACGCCATCTTGGGAATCCAGAGCGCCCATCCGCATTGGAAGGCCTTTCTGACAGAAGCTTGGGACGTAGCGAAACAATGGAAGCTTGCGGAGCCGCCAAAGCTCCGTCCCCCCTTGCCACGCGCGCTGCTGCGCGCCATGGTCGGGCTCTGTCTCGCCTGGGACTGGCCTGTGATGGCGGCACTGCTGCTCATGGGCTTCACGATGTTCCTCAGGCCTGGCGAACTGCTGGCGTCCCGCCGCTGTGACCTGTCGCTTCCGTGCGACCGTCTCGAAGTCGAAGGAGATGCTTTTCTTTCGATTCTTGTTCCAAAGACCAGAAGAACGTACCCGACGCAACATGCTCGCTGCTCCGATCGGGGCACGGTGAAGATATTGAATCTTGTGTTTGGGAGGCTGGCTTCCACCGATCCTCTCGCCCCCTTCGGTGCGAGCGGCTTCCGTACTCGGTGGAATCATCTGCTTTTGGCTCTGGGCGTCCCCCTTGCCAAAGCAGGTCAGGGGCTCAACCTGACGCCCGCTTGTCTGCGGGGCTCTGGCGCAACAGACTTTTATATCGCCACGGAAGACGTCCCTCGCGTCTTCTGGCGAGGGCGCTGGCGTCAGGCTTCCAGTGCCGAACGCTACCTGCAAGCCGCCGCCGCCTCTACAGTTCTTGCTGCGCTCCCCGAGCACGCGCGGGCTCGTATCTTGTTCTTCGCCACCGCCAGCGACCGCCTCGTCGCTTCGTTCCTCCAAGTCGGCCCCGCCGCTTGGCCTGCCCTGCTTGCGGCCGCCCGCCAAAACCTTGTCACTTCGCAAGGTCCTTGAGCACGGGTATGGCTGCCTCGCCGACCTCGGCGACCAGACGGACTCCACCGTCTGACGCGCGGCGCCCCGGCTTGAGCGCGCGGGACGGGCCTGCCCATTTTGGGCCGCCCCGCGCGCGCACGCCGCGGCCGCGCTCGGAGACAGCTCGCTGGCGCGCGAGCGGGAGAATGCTTCTTCTATTCTCTGTGAGCAAGCTCCTGCTGTCTCCGCAGCTTCTCAGCCCCCCTCCCTCCTCTCCCACTCTAAGGCTGACGGGCGCTGCCTCGCCGACCTCGGCGACCAGACGGACTCCACCGTCTGACGCGCGGCGCCCCGGCTTGAGCGCGCGGGACGGGCCTGCCCATTTTGGGCCGCCCCGCGCGCGCACGCCGCGGCCGCGCTCGGAGACAGCTCGCTGGCGCGCGAGCGGGAGAATGATGATGCTGTTGCTGATTATGATGCTGCTGCTGATGATGACGATGGTGATTATTATGGTGGTGGTGATGATGATGATGGTGATGATGATGATGATGATGATGCTGATGCTGATGATGCTGATGATAATGATGATTCTGATGATTCTGATGATTCTGATGATGCTGATGATGATGCTGATGATGATGATGCTGCTGCTGATGATGATGATGATGAGGATGATGATGATGATGATGATGATGATGATGATGATGATGATGATGGTGATGATGATGATGATGATGATGAGGAGGAGGAGGAGGAGGAGGGGAACGTGGCCCTTGCGTTCGTCCCCCTCGAGCTATTTTCATATGACACCCTTCCTGGCAGACGGCAGGGAGGAGGCACAGACTTCGGGTTATTACAGACCGACACAGACTCCAGAGTCAGCCAGTGGCGGGGGAGGGGGATGGCGGGAGGGGGAGGAGTAGGAGGAGGAAGGGGGGGAGGGGGCGGAGGAGGAGGAGGAGGAGGAGGAGGAGGAGGAGGAGGAGCTCACCTTCTCTCCTCCTCCTCCTCTTCCCCCTCTCTTCGCGACCCCCCCCTCCCTTCTCCCCCTTCCTTCTCCCCCGTCATCCCTCCCTCTCCTCCGCCCTCCCCGTCCCCTCCCTCGCTCCATCGAGCCAATTCCCGCGTCCCCTTTCCCGCTCCTTTCCATTTCTCCCACTCCTTCCCCTTCTCCATCCTCTCCCTCCCCTCGGGCCCACATCCCAGGGAGCCGAATCGGCATTGGGAGCGAAATCGCCCCATCGAGGGGCCGTTGCTGGCTGATGACGCCCGCCTCTCCTCATGGTGCATCCCCGCGAAGCGGTATGTATGTGCGTATATGTAGGTATGTATGTATGTAGGTAGATCGATATGTATGTATGTATGTATGTATGTATGTATGCATGTATGTATATATATATATATGCATGTATGTATGCATGCATGTATGTATGTATGTATGCATGCATGTATGTACGTATGTATGTATGTAAGTATGCATGCATGCATGCATGCATGCATGTATGTATGTATGTATGTACATATGTATGTATGTATGTATGTATGTATGTATGTATGTATGTATGTAGGTATGTATGTATGTATGTATGTAGGTAGGTAGGTATATGTGCACGTGTGTATGTATGTATGTGTGTATGTATATATGTATGCATGTATGTATGTGTATGAATGTATGGATTTATGGATGTATGCATGTATGCATGTATGCGTGTATGCATGAATGCATGTATGTATACATGTATGCATGTAGGTATGTGTGCATGTGTGCATGCATGTATGTATGTGCTTATATTATGTATATGCATATGCGTGCGTATTTGTATCTGTACATGCATATGCGTCTGTATATGCATATGTATATGTATATGTGCATATATATACACGTACATGTGTATGTATATGTACATGTATGTGTATATGTATACGTACACGTATGTGTACGTGTATATGTACATGTGTATGTACATGTATATGTACATGTACATGCATATGTATATGCATATGTATATGTACATGCATATGTATGCATGTATACATGTATGTATGTATGTATGTATGTATGCATGTATGCATGTATGCATGTATGCATGTATGCATGTGTGTGTATGCATGCACGCATTCATGTAGGCACGCAGGCATGTATGCATGTATGCATGCATGCATGTATGCATGTCTGCATGTATGTATGATCCAGGGTCGAGGGTTCACGCCCCCCCCCCCAGATGGTATGGTCCCAGGATTCCTCGCCCCCCCCCCGCAGATGGTATGGTCCCAGAGACGGCGACGACGGCGACGACGACGACGACGGCGACGACGACGACGGCGACGACTACGACGACGGCGGCGACGACGACGACCACGACGACGACGACGACGGCTGCGGCGGCGACGACGCGGGCGGCGGCGGCGGCGACGACGACGATGACGACGATGACGACGGCGACGACGACGACGACGACGACCACGACGACGACGACGACGGCTGCGGCGGCGACGACGCGGGCGGCGGCGGCGGCGACGACGACGATGACGACGATGACGACGGCGACGACGATGACGACGACGACGACGATGACGACGACGACGACGACGACGAGGACGACGAGGACGACGAGGACGACGAGGACGAGGACCACGACACGACGACGACGACGACCTCTGAACCACCACGGCACCACACCACATCCACAGTGGGGGGAGGGGGGCACCGCAGCGCAGCACAACGCCACGCCCACTTCTGAACCACCACAGTACCACACACACATCCACACGGGGGGGGGGGGTGGCACCGCAGCGCAGCACCACGCCACGCCCACAGGGGGGGGCGGGGACCATCGCGCGGGGGGGGGGGGGGGCAAATGGCATCAGCATTGGGGGGGGGGGCAAGCCCTTATGCATGTATGTATGTATGTACGTGTGTATGTATGTATGTATGTGTGTGTGTATGTATGTATGTATGTATGTATGTATTTCTGTATGTATGTATGTATATATGTATGTATGCATGCATGCATGCATGCATGTATGCATGTATGTATACATGCATGCATGCATGCATGCATGTATGTATGTATATATGTATGTATGTATGTACGTATGTATGTATGTATGTGTGTATGTATGTATATATGTATGCATGTATATATGCATGTGTGTGTATATATGTATGCATGTATACATATATGTATGAATGTATGCATGCATGTATACATGCATGCCTGCATGTATGTACGTATGTCTGTAGGTATGTATGTATGCATGTATTTATGTATGTATGCATGCATCTATACATACGTGCATGCATACATAGAGAGACGCATACGCGCGTGTGCATACATATACATGCTCGAGTGTGTCCATGTATGCTTGTGTGTGTTCGTGCCTCTACGCATGTATGTACGTACGTGCATCTGCCCCAGTCACACTCAACATAACACAAAGCCTCGTATGCGAACGCATATATATATATATATATACATATGTATACACATATATATACACATATATATATATATATATACACATATATATACACAAACATATATATATATATATACATCGACCACAACATAGTGTACTGCGCCGAGGCCCGGGCGAGGGCACCCCGCCGTTCGAGCCGGAGCCCTCGGACGAGACGGCGTCCCTGTGCGCGGGGAACCCCGAGAGGCCCCTGGCGCTCGAGAGGACGAGACGATGAGGAGGAGGAGGAGGAGGAGGGGGAGGAGGAGGAGGAGGAGGAGGAGGAGGAGGAGGCAGATGAGGAGGAGGAGGAAAAGGAGGAGGAGGAGGAGGAGGAGGACGAGAGGAGAGAATCGAAGTCGGCTGATCAGGGAGGCCATATTCTGAGGGTCATTATCAGCCCAGCAGGGGGTCATATGATGACCGGGCTCATCACCCTATGATCTCGGCTCAGCAGTCATATCATTGAAGTCGGCTGATCAGGGATGCGCGAGGGACGAGGGGAGAGTCGAGGGGAGAGTCGAGGGGATGAGGGGGCTTCATGTTTTGGTAGGCTCGGCGAGGCTTTTCCAGGGTCCCAGGCCTGAGGAGGAGGAGGAGGAGGAGGAGCGGAGGAGGAGGAGCAGGAGCAGGAGCAGGAGGAGGAGGAATATTAGTATCAATAATAATAATAATAATAATAATAATAAAAAGTTGCACTAATAATAATAATCATAATACTACTAACAACAACAATAAACATAATACCACTACGAATAATAATACTAATATTACGGATGCTAAGAAGAGTAATACACAATACTAGTAATCATAAGAACATATGGATCATAGTAGGAATATTAATGGTAATAATAATGATAAGATAAGAATATCAATAATTTGAAATACGAAGACGAATGCTTTGCACAATAGTAATAATATGAAGGAGGAGGAGGAAGAGGAGGAGGCGGAATAGGATGATACTGCTAATACTAATAAGAAGAAGTATACTGATACTAACACTTAACAGAATAGTAATAAGACTGCGAATAATACTAACATCAATAATATTTATAATCATAATGCTAATACGTAGATTAATAATTAGACTCAGCACACCAATAATAGTACGAATCATACTCATAATCATTATATAAGGGTACTATTGACAATACTAGTAAGTCAATAATACTAATCATAAGAATAATAATAAGAAGAAGAAAAAGAAGAAGAGGAGGAGGAGGAGGAGGAGGAGGGACGGAGGAGGAGGCGTCAGGTTGGTGGAGGTTCCCCCGCCTCCCGGTGCTCCTTGTCACCATCGATTGCGGTGTTCCGCCGTTTCGATGCGGTCCACTGCTCGTGTGGCGCTGTTTTGAATTTTTGGCGCAGCCAAACTGAGTCGATTCGTTTTCGACTCCGATATGGCCCGATCAATCCGGCGCAAGTTCCGATTTGATCCAGTTTCCCGAGTCGATGCTGACTCTGGAGGAGAAGGAGAAGGAGGAGGAGGAGGAGGAGGGGATACAACGTTCAGGAGAACATTCGTGCCACCAGTTGCCAGTTGCCAGGTGCCAGGAAGAGGAGGAGGGTCGAGGGGTCGATGCGCGGAAGGTGCATTGCAGCATGCTGTCTGTACAGGTGGCGAGTTTTTTCCAGGTCGCTGGAGGGTCGTGGTGTGGAGGATGAGGACGAGGAGGAGACGGACTTGGAGGAGGAGAATCACGTGCTTCTATACATTGCCGTCGCGCCGCTGCACGGCCTCAGTGTAGTTGGGGGCGAAGAGCGAGCATTCTTTTTGCCAGGGGGGAGGACTGAGACAGGGGTCCCGGGGGATAGGAGGAGACGGAAGACCAGACTGACCCCAGGCTGCGCTAACGCTGCCGCAACACAGCCCAAGGATAGAGGGTGGCTGATTTTCAAAATGTGGCTCTCGCCTTAGCGCCGCGCTCATTCTCTGTGAAATCTTGCAACGTTCAAGGATGGAGGGCGACTGGTTTTCAAACTGGCTTTCGCTTCAGCACCGCGCGCATTCTTTTCTTTCAGTTTGCAACAGATTCAAGGGTGGAAGGCGTCTGGTTTTCAGCATGTGGCATGCGCTTTACCATCGCGCTCATGCACGTTAACATCTGCAACAGTTTCAAGGGTTCGTACGGTTGAAGTCCCAAGATTGGCGTTCTGGTGCGAGTCAGGGCTGCCAGGACGCAACAGACACGTTGATTGGCAGTGCTGAAGTCCCCAGAGTTGTGTTCTGGCAGGACATCGGATTCTCAGGACGTGCCAGTCATGGTGATTCACGGCGTTGAGTTCGTCCCAGGAGCTGTGCTTTGGCACGGTTGAGGATCCTCAGACGTTTATTTTCCAGTGGGGCATCCCCCGCACTGAAAAACAATTCTTGTGGGGATCTGCGGAGAGGAACATGTGGAGGGAGGGCTTATCCCAACATCGATGATGCGTCTTGGGGTTTACTCGGCTTTCTTCTCCTCCTCGTCCGTCCTCTTCCCCTCGTGTCAAACATCGCCCCCCGTCCCTCTCGAGGGCCGCGCTCTGGCCCGAGAGCCCCCGAGAAAGCCCCGCCGCGGCGACGAGACGCCTCCGGAGGCCCAGGTGGGCGAGCGCCCCCGGAACCCTCGATGCTTGACCTCCGCCCTCCCCCCACGTCCCCCCCTCCCCCTCCCCCTCCCCCCCCCTCCCCCTCCTCCCCTCCCCTCCCCCTCCTCCTCCCTCCCCTCCTCCTCCTCCTCCTCCTCCTCCTCCTCCTCCTCCTCCTCCTCCTCCTCCTCCTCCTCCCTTTCCTCCTCCTCCTCCTCCTCCTCCTGCCCCTCCTCCCCCTCCCCCTCCCCCTCCCCCTCCCTCCAGGGTCCATCCCGAGTCGACCCGATTCGGTTCCGAGCTCGCCAGGATCGGCCCGACTCGATTCGGGTCTTCCGGCGTCCCGATGCGACCCGATCCCTGCACGGGGCCGTTGTGCATCCCGGCGCAGCCCGGTCCGGTTCGAGCGACTCCGTGCCGCTGCACTCCCCGATGCGGTGCACACGTCGAGCCGATGCGACCTGCCGGTGCGGTGCCGGCGGATCCTGCCCTCGCGGCACGGGGCCCGAGCCCCCGAGGCTGAACCTGGGCCACAAGCGCGGGGCGGGGCTGCTCGGTGCCTTCCGGGAGGCCCTGGGCGCCAGCGGCCTGGACGTGGGCGCCCTGGAGCAGGTCGAGGGCGGGGCTCTCACGAGCGGCGAGCAAAGCCGCAGCCGCGCCCTCGCGGTCTGGACGACGACGACGAGGACGACGACGACGAGGACGAGGACGACGAAGAGGACGACGAGGACGACGAGGACGACGAGGAGTCGGAGGGAGAGGATGAGGAGGGGAGGAGCAAGAGAGGGAGCAGCACCCGGACATCCGACGATGCGTTGTTTTCTGTGCGCGGCCCTAGGAGCATTCTGACTCGCCTGGGAGCCGCTTCTGCTGGCCTCCCAGGGCCCATGCACGGGGCCCCTGGAGGCCAACTTCGAGGAATGAGGCTCCAGGACTGAGCAGAGCGCCCCGTTTGTGCGCAGATCTGGGGAGCAGGAGGGCAGACATGTTCGCGTCGTGAAAAATCATGACGGGAGGCTTCGGCCATTTTCAGCCTCCATGGGGCCTCGCCGGCCCTGGGGCCGCTGATAAACGACTCGGGATGAAAAGCTGGCCCTTGGGAAAGGGCGGAGGAGGAGGAGGAGGAGGAGGAGGAGGAGGAGGAGGAGGAGGGGATTCTTTGGGGACCGCGCCTGGGCACGGAGGGCGATCACGGAGACGATCAGCCGCCGCCTCGACCCACGACGCCTCGTGCCTGCTTGCGCCTGCGGCTTGCCCAGAGAGAGCCGCCTCGGAGAGCAGCGGCCCCGCGAGCAGGTGCACCGGGACCTCGCCGAGGCCGCGAAGGCCTCGCCGCGGCAGCTGGTGCGCCGGGACGGCCCCTGCCCTGGCCTGGCGGCGGCCTTCGCGCGCTTCTCGCCGGAGGCCTGTCTGCCGCCGCCGACGTCGACGTCAGCGCCTCCGTCGCCGGCGCCGCTGACGCCGCGGGCGTCGCCGCCGCCGCTCGCAACCGCCGCCCGTCGTCCGCCCCTCCTCCCTCCTCCTTCCCTGCTCCCCTCCTCCCTCCGTCCGCCCCCCTGCCCGCCTCCCCCTCCCTCCTCCGGAGGAGGGGGAGGGGGAGGAGGGAGGGTGGGGAGGAGGAGGAGGAGAGGAGGAGGAGGAGGTGAGGAGGAGGAGGAGGAGGAGGAGAGGAGGAGGAGAGGGAGGAGGAGGGGGAGGAGGAGGAGAGGAGGGGAGGAAAGCTTCCTCCCCCTCCTCCCGCGGCTTCCTCCCTCCTTCCTCCTCCCTCCTCCTCCTCCTCCTCCTCCTCCTCCTCCTCCTCCTCCTCCTCCTCACCCGTCCTCCTCCGCCTCCTCCTTCTTCTTCATCCATTGTCCCCCCCCCCCCCACACTCACGAGCATCGTCCTCCTCCGCCACCCCCTCCTCCTCCCTCCTGCTCCGCCGCCGCCTCCTTCTCCTCCTCGCTACCATCTGCTCTTCCCTCATCCGTCCTTCCTCCCCGCCTCCTGCCTCAACTGAGATCCGACGTCGCGAACAAAAATGCAAGATCGTGGAATCTTGTTGACGCTTCGTGTACGCCCACCAGCCCATGCAGAAACGATGCCCGGGGGAGTTGAGGTGATCAGGGAAGTGGGGGAGCATGCAGAAGAACAAATGGTGGGGGAAGCCCTCATATTTCCCGAGAGAAGGAGGATGGAGGAGGAATCGTCGTCGTCGTCGTCGTTGGAGAAGGAGGAGGAGGAAGAGGAAGATGCTGCTGCTGCTGATGATGATGATGATGACGATGATGATCATGATACTGATGCTGATGCTGCTGCTGCTGATGATGCTGTTGTGATGATGATGCTGCTGATGCTGATGCTGAGGAGGCTGATTATGATGATGATGCTGTTGATGATGGTTATGATGATGATGTTGATGCTGATGCTGATGCTGCTGCTGCTGCTGATGATGATGATGATGATGCTGATGATGATGATGATGATGATGCTGATGCTGATGCTGATGCTGATGCTGATGCTGATGCTGATGATGATGATGATGATGATGTGATGATTATGATGCTGAATGATGATGATGATGATGATGATGATATGATGATGATGATGATGCTGAGGAGGATGAGGAGAAGAGGAGGATGATTAGTGACAGGAGGAGGAGAGGAGGAGGAGGAGGAGGAGGAGGATGGGATGGAGCAGGGCGAGGACGAGCACGACGATAAGGAGGAGAAGGAGGAGGAGGAGGAGGGGGAGGGACAGGAGGGAGGAGCAAGGAAAGGAGGAGGAGGAGGAGGAGGAGGAGGAGGAGGAGGAGGAGGAGGAGGAGGAGGAGGAGGAGGGGGAGGAGGGGGAGGGATAGGAGGGAGATGCAAGGAAAGGAGGAGGAACAGGTGGGTGAGGAAGTGTAATAGGACGGCGAACAGAAACGCCAGAGGCTTCTCAAATGCCCCTCGGAGTCTCGCCGGATGTGTCCTGGAAGCTTCTTGGAGTCCTCTTGGAGCGTCTCGGGGGCATCGTGGCGGGCCTAGGACCGTCTTTGGGCGTCTTGGGCACCTCGGGGATCCTCTTGATGCCTCTTGGGGTCTCTTGGGAGCTTCTTGGAGGCCTCTTTGGGCCGTCTGGGCGCCTCTGGGGGCTCTCCTGTGGCGCTCTTGGGAGCTTCAGGGGCGCTTTTGGGGCCATCTTGGAAGAGGGGAGCTCCAATTAGCGTTGCCCCTCGGGAGCCCAACACATCGTCTCTTGGGCCGCTCTTGGGGCGCTCTTGGAGCTTTAGGGCGCTCTTGGGGCCGTCTCGGGGCTCTCTTGGGCCTCTCTTGGAGCCCTCTTGGGCCATCTTGGAGCAATCTTGAGGCCTCGGAAGGCTATCGAAAGCGAACGGGCTACGATGCAAACATCATTGATTTCCTTACGTTCTTGCAGGACTTTAGCTTCTTCGGGGCCTCCTTGGGAAGCTCTTTGGCGGGCTATCTTGGAGCGTGCTTGAAGCCTCTTGGAGCATCTTCGGGGCCATCTTGAGACATCTTAGGCTATTTTGGAGGTAATCCTGGGCTCTCCGAAGCCCTCTTGGAGCCGTCTTGGGCTATCTTGGACGCTCCAACTACCCGCGCCCCCCCCGTCCAGGTCCACGGGATGGGGTAGGGCAAGCTAGGTGTGCTCGCGTCATATCTGACGTCCTACCCCTCTTTCCCATCCCTTACCATGGCGTCTAGATCTTGTCTCCACTTGCACAGTCGGATGTCGATCAGGGCCATGATCCCGAGAGGTTGCGCGATGCATCGTAGAGCACGGCAAAGCAGGGCGTACAAGAGCACGGCACAGCGTAGTATGTCATAGCATGGCGGGGCATTGCACAGTGAAGCATTGCAACACAAAACGTTGCAACGCAAAGACCGGCATCGCACAGCGGCACAGAACAGAACATGGCATAGCATAGTGATGAAGATCAAAGCGTAGCATGACATAGCATGGCGTGGAATTGCGTAGTCAAGCACTGCATATCCGCGCGTTGCAGCTGAAGGCATGGTATCCTACATCGGAGCACCTGATAGAATTGCATTGCATGCCGTGGCATGGCACTGGAAATAATGACGCCAGCGCTGCAGCGGGAGCACGATTCGGAACGACCGGAAGCGCGGAAATGAGGCCAGCGCTGCAGCGGGAGCACGATTCGGAACGACCGGAAGCGCGGAAATGAGGCCAGCGTTGCAGCGGGAACACGATTCGGAGCAAGCGGACGCCCAGAAATGAGGCCAGCGCTTCAGCGGGTGTAACATTTTCGAAAACACCCAAGCGAACACCCAACTCCCGGGAGTCCTGTGTAAAAAAACACCTACGCCGAGGGTGGCCGAACATCTTCTGGACGTCATCAGGGGAGAGAGGAGAGTAGCATTCATATTGTGTAACTGTGGAGGGGCAGGCCCCTCCCAGAAGAGGAAGAAGGGGGTTGGAAGAGGAGCCTCCCCAGACCACCTTCGCCCAGCACGTCCCGAGCGGGATCGATCTGTGAGGGCCTCCCGGGGCTTGGATGCCTGGCGAGACCGCCCGGGGTCAAGCTTTGCTACGCCAGGATCCGGGAGCCTTCGCCCCTCCCCCGCTCCTCCCTCATCCGCCCTTGCCCTCTCTGTCTCTCTCTTTCCCTCTCTTCCTCCTCGTCCTCCTCCTCCTCCTCTGCCTCCGCCTCCGCCTCCCTCCTCCTCACTCCTTCTTCCTCCTCCTCCTCCTCCTCCTCCCTGTCCGACTTCTCATTCAGCCTCGCTAGATTCTAATAGCAGACTTTCCAGCCCACCCCGCCTGCATACCGCGGCTGCCGGATCTCCAGGTCCACCGAGAATCCCCCGAGACTCCCACCTCACGCCGACTCGCCCATTTTGCACACCGTACCAGATCCCCAGGTCCACCGAGAATCCCCCGTGACCCCCGCCTCGCCCCTTCGACGAGCACGACAGAACCTGACATGACGGAGCATAACACTACACATCATAACAGCATAATAGGGCACATCATACCATAACACATCATAACAATACATACCGCAACAATGCAGAGCATACCGGAACACATCATCACATAATCCATCATTCCACATCATGGCTAGGCATATCATGGCATACTGTTGCATATCCGGTTAAAACCTAGGAAAGCATAACATAATATACTACCATAACATAGCACAGTTTATGATAACATACCAGAGCAAGTCATAACACAACACAGCGTGACAACTCGTGCAATGGCAGAGCGGAACACCCAGAACAAAGCATCACACGTCACATAATAACATAACACCACATACCACAACACAATACACCATAACGCATCATGCCATAACATACCACGACAGTGCAGCGCACACCATAACGCAGCACCACAACGCATGCAGCGGCAGAGCGGGGCATACATAAGAGAGCGTATCACTACACATCGAACCAGGGCAGAACACAGCATTCCGTAACAACATATGACGGACCATAACATGCCATACCATGTCATACCATACATTAGCATAGCGCAGCATCAACCAACATGTCGTGCCATATCATGAAGATGCATACCATGGCAAAACGCGACACAACATTTTTCACAATAGCTGACCATAACATGCCATAGTACCATACCATGGCATAACCTACCATAACACAACATGCCAATCCAGATCATACGAGAGCACATCATATGAGCGCATGCCATGTCATATCATAACGTACTACAGCATCACAGCACGGAGCATTCCATACCATGCTAACACATACCATGACAGAGCGGGGTATACCATATCAATGAATAGCAGGCCATCGCATCGCATACCATATCATAGCCCAGCATACAGTGCCAGACAATAGCATGACATAATGCAGTTTTGAACATCACGTAACACACCAATGCTAGCAGAACACGACGGCAACGGTTGTTGTATTATAGCATCATTGCCTTTGACCAGTCGTAGACAAAACTCATGACACACCAGATCATACCCTCATACACTGAACATAACAACACGTAATTTGTTCTGTTATTCCTACCACTATACCATCACAAAACATATTTGTTCTATGATTGCTACCACTGTAACAACGAGCTTGATATAATACCATGGACTATACCTTCATTTGAGAGGTGTGCCGTATTAATTAGAACAGATCATCCAGTACTTGGTAATGAGTTGTGCATCGTGTAAGAAACACCACTGAACATATCATATTCGTGCCACAGCAAATCATACCATTCAAAGCCAAATCATACCGCGTCGCAAGATATATCAACGGATCACAGGTTACATAAGACAACACATACATGACTGTACATGCCATAGTAGTATAATTCAAACGCGACGTGCGCGCTGAGGTCAGGCTGGCCATAGGAACCAACAGGCGCAACAACGACCGACTGCACGACGTATCTAACGTCACGGCGTCACGACGTCACACCAGAGAACATAGCATCACCTTACATAATGGAATGTCCTAGATTGGGGCATACTCCAAGCGAAGATAATAAAACCTCCTCATCTTACTTCTCCTCATCCTCCTCTTTCAACAGGTTGCGTATTCCCTTCGAGCATCTTTTGGGCTTGTTTCGGCTTCTTTCCTCAGGGGCTACCCTCCTGCGACAAACCTGGGGCTCCTAGATCTTGGGACAACGGCAGCTTGCGACGCCGCGCTGGCCGATATCACCAGGCCCTGCGGGCATCCTTTCAATAGGCGCTTGCACCGTCGGGAGGAATGGCCGAAGGTTTCGGTGGGGATCGCTCGAAGCAAAGAAGGTGGAGGAGGAGGTGGAGGAGGAGGAGGAGGAGGAGGAGGAGGAGGAGGGGGATCGCTCGAAGCAAGATTTCTTGCTGTCGCCCTCAGGTCGGAGATCTCCCGGGCTGCGGCGCCGCCGTGCTGCACGTCTTCGAGCCGGCCGGCAGGCCGCTGGGTGGCGCCGGCAACGTCGCCATGGTGTACGCCTGCGCCCCGAACGGCAGGCGCCCCGGGCCCGGCCCGAAGCGCACGGGCGCAGGGCAACGTCGTCGTCGTCGTCGTCGTCGTCGTCGTCGTCGTCGTCGTCGTCGTCGTCGTCGTCGGGTTGGACACAAGAGGCAACGAGAGGGGCGGGGTAGGCGCAGCATCGCCTCACAGATCCCTGTCCCGTCCGGCGCCGTCGCGGTCAGGTACCACGCGGCGCTCACGCCCAGCAGCTTCCTGTGCTCGCTGCGGTGCATCGGCAGCAACATCGCCCGCCTGGTGCGCGAGTACAACCGGGCGGTCGGCGCCCAGGGCGCCCCGGAGAGCTGGGAGCGCACCACGTGGTTTGGGGTGGGGGGCGTGAGCGAGAGCAGGGATCAGCCACGCGCAGAGGGGAGTGGGGGGAGGGGGGAGGGCTTCTTGGAAGCACCCCTGCTTTTCTCAGAAGGGGCGTGCCCTGTCGATAGACGTAAGGCCGCACCCTCCAAGAAGCAGCCTCCTTCGAAGCAGCCCTCCCCCCTCCCCCCACCCCCCTCGTGCGCGCCGCCACAGGGAGCAGAGGGCAGGGAGCCGAGGTGGCCTCGGCCCGCGCTCCCGCCCTGCAGGTCGACACGCGGACCCTCGGGGGGCCCCGCCTCTTTCCCAGCCGTCCAGGTGGTGTCGGGCCCTCGTTTTGAAGAGACGGTCCCCGCGTTCTCCTCCCTCCTCCCCCTCCCCCCCCCCGCCTCCCTCCTCCTCCTCCCTCCTCCTCCCCCCCCTCCTCCCCCTCCTCCCCCTCCTCCCCCCGCGTTCCTTCCTCCTCCCCCCCCTCCTCCCTCCTCCCTGCGCTTCACCCACCCAGTACAGCGCTTCGTGGCCCCACGGGGAGCGCCACCGACGGCCCCAGCGGCACCGCCCGCATGCGCTACCCACACCCATTTCGCCTTGTCTCTCCCAGCGTCTGTGCGCGCCGTCATGCCCGTGGCATTTTGGCACATGCCTCAAGTCGGGCGTGCCCCTCTACAGGAGGAATACCCCCAAATAGTCCAAACATAGTATGGGGACGATTTTTCCAGTAGGTGTGACCATATTTTGCTTTCGTCCAAAATCCGCCTGTAGGAGGACACGCCCGACCTAAGACAGGCCTGTGATGTTTGGAGCCCAACGTTGAGCAAGCGGTGCCCCCAGTGTGCACCGCTCCATCCGTCCGCGTGCGCTGTTGTTCGCGCCAGGCCTGGGCGTTTGAGCATCGGCCCTTGCGTAGTCTCCCCTCCCGTCGTCGGAAAGGGCAGAGCGGCAGGGGAGGTGACGTGAGGTAGAGGTGAATTACACCAGAGTGGGGAGGGGAGCTGGGGGAGGGGGGAGGAGCAGGAGGAGGAGGAGGAGGAGGATGACGACGATGACGAGGACGAGGGTCAGAATGTGGAACAGATATTACTTCAGGCTTCACGCTGCCCATGAGAGTTGTCGGGAAATCTGAGAAAGAGACAGATATAGGTAGTAAAGCAAAGCGGGCAACCATGGTGAACTGAGGATGCGGAGGAGAAGGGGGATGAGGAGGAGGATACAGAAGACGACGAGAGGACGAGGAGGAGGAGGAGGATGAGGAAGAGGAGGATAGAGAGGAGAAGGAAGAGGCAAGAAGAGGAACACAAGGACAAGGACGATGAGAACGACGAGGGCAAGGACGAGGAGGATGAGGAGGACGAGGAGGAGGACGACGACGAGGACGAGGAGGAGGACGATGCAGAGGACGAGGGCGAAAAGGATGACGGGGAGGAGGAGGAGGAGGAGGAGGAGGAGGACGACGACGAGAAGGATGAGGACGTGGACTCTGGCAGCCATATGGGGATCTTCTTGAGGCCTTCTTTGGGCCCTCTTGTGGCTCTCTCGCGGCCCTCTTGGGGCCCTCTTGGTTTTCGTTTGGGGTCCTCTTAGGGCTCTATTGGGGAGTCTTGAGGCCTTCCTGGGCCCTCTTGGGGCCCTCTTAGGAGCCCTGGTTGACCTCCCGAGGCCATCTTGGAGGCCATCGGGGTCCCCGATTTACCCCCCCCTCTGGGGCCCTCAAAATCGCCTCTTGGGGCGCACTCTTGGGGCCCCTCTTGGGGCTCTGTTGGGTCATCTTGGGGCCATCTTGATGCCCCAACAGCGCATCGGATGTGAAACGCCGAGAAGCAAGCATCATTGATTTCCCGCACGTGTTTGGCGGATTTTGGCTGATTGGGGGGTCCTGATAAAAAGGGGGCTCCAGGGCACGTGCAACCGTCTTGTGGCGTTCTTTCTGGGTTTCTTGGAAGCATGTCGGAAGCCATCTTGAGACATCTTCGGCTACCTTGAGCCATCTTGGGAGGCAATCTTGGAGTATCGGAGGCTCTCTCGAGGCCATCTTGAGCCATGTTGGACGCTCTAGCCCCTCGGGCCCCCTCAAGGAACAACTCAGGGAGGGGAGGGGGAGGGTACCCCTCCTGGAAGGGAAGAGCGTTGAGCAGAGGAAGGGAAGGCATCGTTAGGCCACCTACGCCCAGAGGGCCGTCGGGACTACCCGTGCCCCTGCCCTTCGAAGGCGTGGCCAGAACGCGAAGGCCTGGCCGCGAATGAGAGGCGTGGAGTCTCCTTGGGGACCTCGTGGGGATCGCCCGAGAGCCCCCCCCCCCCCCGAGCCCCGAGGGCACCGAGAGAGTCCTGCACCTGGCATGGGCGCCGCCGGGCGCCCCCCCGCGGAGGCCCGAAACGGGGCGAGGTAGAGAGAGAACGCGAGTGGGGGAACGAGCGATAGAGAGAGGGAGAGGGAGAGGGAGAGAGAGAGGGAGGGAGAGAGAGAGGGCGTGAGAGGGCGGGACGGAGGGAGAGGAGGAGGAGGAGGAGGAGGAGGAGGCGGAGGAGGAGGAGGAGGAGGAGGAGGAGGAGGGAGGAGGAGGAGGAGGAGGAGGAGGAGGAGGAGGAGGAGAGGAGAGGAGGAGGAGGAGGAGGAGGAGTTGGAGGAGGACCAGGGCAGGCCCGGGGTGCTGCAGCGATGCTGCACTCCGCCCTTCGGTCTCGGGTCCCCTCCCCGCGCGTCCGTACGAGCTATCTTTTTGCAATGCAGGAAGCGCCACCTGGAAACACAGGCACCCTGACGGGCTGCCCTCTGTGCGAAGCACCAGGAGCACGACACAAGCATCGTCGTCGTCGTCCTCCTCCTCCTCCTCCTCCCCCTTCCTCTCCTCCTCCTCCTACTTCTCCTCCTCCTCCTCCTCTCCTCCACCTCCTCTTCCTCCTCCTCCTCCTCCTCCTCCTCCCCTCCCCCTACCGCTCCTCCCCATCTTCTCCCTCCCCCCCTACTCAGATGAGGACTTCCTGGCTCACCGAGCGCCATCAGTGAAGCCCACGAAGTGTCCAGCGAGAGCACCGTGCTGAAAAGGAGCCGTCCCCGCCTGTGCACCTGTTGCACATCGTGTCACTCCTGGTCATCACTTCGAAGAACGCGCAAGCGACAACCAACTTTTGCAGAAAGAGCCGCCCTCCCTCCGCGCAGCTGGGACATAGATGTGTTGAAGATGCTTTTCGCGAGTCCAGAGGACATTTCAAGCGAGAGCCCCTGTATGGAACGCACTTACTGCAAGCTTTTTTGAGACGACTGTGCGCGCCGCTACAGCGAGGGACCCCTGAAAAGGAACTGCCCTCCATCCTTGAAAGTGCTGCGAGCTTAAAAAGGCGAGTGCACGCGGAGCTGAAGCGAGAGCCCAATTTCGAAGGGCTCCTCCCTCTATCCTTGTAACTAAGTGCTGCAGCTTTTAGCAGGACTGTGCGCGATGCAAACACGGGAGCACCATTTTGACCAGGAATGGCCCAGCATCCTTTCCATCGTTGCAAGTTGTGAAAAGGAAAGTGCGCGGAGCTGAGGCGATAGTCTGATTTCGAATGGGGTGCGCCCTTTCCCACTTCGTACATGTCGGACAATTCAAGTTCCAGCGTCATGAGAAGTGTGGAGGTCTGAGGCGAAGCACCCCACCCGCCCTAACGACACGTCTGGTGGTGCGACAGGGGGGAGCTATTTTCGAGAACGAGGGATGGAGGAGGAGGGGGGAGCTGGAGGAGAGAGGAGGAAGGAGGGAGGAGGAAGGACGAAGGAGGGATGAGGAAGGAGAAATGGGGGAGGAGGAAAGAAGCAGGAGGGGGGAGCACGGAGGAAGAGGCCGGAGGAAGAGGGTAAGACGGAGGAGGGGGGAGGAGGAGGGGGAGGAGGGTGGAAGCAGGGACGAGAGATGAGAAATGAGGGACAATGTGCGAGGACCTGGGACGAGGATGAGGGAGGAGGAGGTGGCAGAGGGAGGGGGAGAGAGGAGGGGGTGGGAGGAAGGAGGAGGTGGGAGGAGGCTGGAACAGGGAGGAGGAGGAGGGAGGAGAGGAGGAGGACAGGAGGAGGAGGAGGAGAAGAGGAGGAGGAGGACTGAGGAGGAGGAGGGGCAGGAGGGAGGAGGAGGAGGAGGAGGAGGAGGAGGAGGAGGAGGAAGGAGGAGAGAAGAGGAGGAGGAGGAGGAGGAGGAGGAGGAGGAGGAGGAGAGGAGCCCGATGAGCCGAGGATAGGGAAGGTTCGAGTCGGACCTGCGCGCCCGGGTGGAGTACTACCTGTCCGACCGGAGCCTCGCCACGGACAGCTTCCTCCAGGAGCAAGATCGGGCGGGAGGCCAGGGGAGGAGAAGGAGGAGGAGGAGGAGGAGGAAGGAGGAGGAGGAGGGGGAGGGAAGGAGGAGGAGGAGGAGGAGGAGGAGAGGAGGAGGAGGAGGAGGAGGGAGGAGGGGGGAGGGGGGGGGAGGGGGAGGGGGGAGAGGAGGACGACGACGACGACGCAGGCGGCAGACCCCTTTACTCCTCCTCCTCCTCCTCCCTCCTCCTCCTCCTCTCCTCCTCCCCCTCCTCCTCCTCCCCCTCCTCCTCCTCCTCCTCCTCCTCCTCCTCCTCCTCCTCCTCCTCCTCCCCCGTAGCCATTATGGCTCAAAGTCGAAACGCCTGGCCTGGCGCTTCGAGCTTGGGCGCAGCCGAGGCCTGGCTCGAGGGCTGCTGCCCTTCCAGGCTTGCTTCATACGATCCCGGGCACCACCGTGACCCCGCTTGTAAGACCTCCTGCGGCTGTCCGTGAGTAGTGCAGATGCCGCCGTACTTGGTCTGCCCGAAGTGCCGGAGGGCCTCGTGGATATATAAGTCCAACTTGCAACGTGCGTGAGACATGCAAGTACTGCTCAACTCCGTTCCCAGGGCGTGGCCAGGATCGGGAACATTCAAAGCATCGACGTCACCGTGGACGGCGTGACCGTTTTGGAGCGCGCCCTGACAAAGCTGAACCTTTCCTTGAGGCCAAACATGCTGGCCTTGATGATGACGATGCGGTTGATTACGCCTCCCTCACATATGTTTTTGCATCCACTGGACGCCATCCCAGTGATCTCCAGAAGATTTCTAGTCGAACTGATGGTGTCGGTACACTTGACGCACTTACCAAGGAGACGAAAAGCCTGCTTTATTGTAATCGCGCATCGAAGGCCGCGCTACTACCTGCAACGCTTCCGTATGAACGGGCGGCTAAGCGGACGCATTGGGTGCATTTTAAAAGATACCATCTAAGGTGGATGCGGCCATCTTGGAGACCACCACTATGAGGGATGAAACTTTGGCTACGGCAACCGACTGCGACGAGAGGGTCCACAACCTGCGGATGAAGCCGGACATGCTCGAATTGGACTTTACGGACTGGGAGGATTAGCAGGCGGAGATTCGGAAGGAGTTTCCATTGCCTCCCCCGCCCGATTCTGACCGTGACCTCGCTTTCATCCGCCTCCGCTTGGACAGGGGTTGTGGTCAAGAAGGTGAGGGTCCTGAGCTTGATCCCGCTTTGGCGCTATTGGAGGGGCGCCTCAAGGAATCGCCTCCCCCGGAGGACCAGGAGGGTCTCTGCCACGTTCCAGGGAGAGGACGAGATGATGCGAAGCCGTGTGACAAGCACATGAGCAGCTCAGACAAGCTACCAAGTTGCACAGTATCTCCGCACAGCTGTCTTCCAGCTGTCAGCTGGGATGAACGCAGTATCTTCGAAGATAAATCCGCAGGCGTCGCGGACGGCCGCTGCGTGTATGCCGACTTCTCCGGCCCACGTCTGCCTGGGCCGGCCTCTTTTCCTAACACCAAGCGGCTTTTTTAGAAAGCAAGGAGAGAGAAGGGAGGGGGAGGGGGAGAGGCGGGAGGAAGGGGAGAGGGGGAGGGGGAGAGGGGGAGGGGGAGAGGTACAAAGATAGCCTCTCGGAGAGGGTGTCCTCCGGCACACCTTGCTACCTGCCCAGGCAAACACAATGTCTCTGCAACAAGACACAGCTCAGCTTCACGCGCCCGGCGAGTTGCAGCACGCTGGCGTTTGTGGCCTTGTTCCAATACGAGTGCCCGATGCCGAGAATACGTCGTAGGCACCTCGCCTGGAAGGCGTCCACTCTAGCCACCTCCTGCTTCTCCGGCCAAGTGGTGCGTAAACTGTAAAGCTGCTTCGTTTGCACGCACGCCTCGAATATCATCAGCTTCCTTTGGGACGACACTGCGGAGCGGGACCGCACTCGCGACAGCGCGTCAAATTCCGCTCTCGCCTGACCCAGCCGTCGGCTGGGCTCTGGCCCAGCTGACCCATCTGCTGAAAGCACGCTGCCCAAATATCGACGAGCCGAAATCCTTCACATCAGTAGTTTTGGGTCTCGGAGCCCACAGGGCGGTTTTTCATGTTTTCCATTCGACGTTCCATGAAGCCCGATGTCATTCCGAGGCCGCGCGTCGAACGTTGTCGATGGCGCGTCGCGTTATGCGATGTCACGTGCGTTGGGGTCGTCAAAGGCTTGCGTGCTTGTTGCGGATCGGTTGATGTGGGCTGGGGTTTCTCAGGATTGTACATTTGCTTTGCGCTGGGGCGGTTTCGACCCCCATCCCTGGCTGATCCACCCCGCGGGTAACGTCGCAGGAAGAGTTCGATCATTTCGTTCGTAGTGCCAGCGATGCTGTCGCGGACATTGACCGCGCCACGGGGGGGGGTCGTCCAGAAATTTCCTACCATATTGCAGTGTTGGTTCTTCGTTTTGAAGAGACACCGCCCCGCGTCATTCCTTCCGGCCCCCTCCCTCGTCCTCCCTCTTCGCGTATCTGCCCCTGCTCTCCGCGTGTCCCCGTCGTCATCGTCCATCGTCATCGTCGCCATCACCATCATCATCAGCATCATCAGCATTCTCGTCGTCTCCATCATCAATACCACCACCATCCTCATCAACATCATCAAAACACCCCCCTTGTTCCCCCGCGTCTCTGCTTCGCCACATCCCCCGCAAGTCTCGTGGCCTTGTGAGGTGCTCCACCGAAGGCCCCATCGGCAGGGTCCTTAGTGCGCCGCCCAGCCCATGTCGGCACGCCCCTCAGACGCTTCGTGTCCCCATGAGGAGCTCATCGGAGGTCCCGGCGGCAAGGTCCACATGCCGTCGCCCAGGCCACATTGATGACACCCTCAAACATTTCGTGCCCCTATAGGCAGCTCCACCAAAAAAGGTCCCAGCGGCAGGTTTCCCAGGCCGCCGCCCAGCATATTTCGGCATACGTTTCACACGCTTCGTGGCCCCACGGGGAGCTACACCGACGGCCCCACAGGCAGGGCCCACAGGCCGCCGCCCAGCCCATTCCGTCATACGCTCACAAGCTTCGTGGCCCCATTGGGGAGCACCCCCGATGGCCCAAGCGACAGGGTCCACATGCCGTCGCCCAGCCCATGTCGTCCACGAGTGGCGCCCAGCACGGCTCCAAGAGCGCCCCAAGAGGCGCCGAGTAAGTTGCACCCTCATGCAAATAGTTTTTGTCACTTGTGGGGGTCCTCTTGGGGCCCTCTTGGAGCATTCTTGGGGCCCTCTGGGAGCGTTCTTGGGGCCTTCCCGGGGCCCCAGTGGGCCCTCGGAGGGCCCCAAGAACGTTCCCCGAGGGCCCCAAGAGGGACCCCCCAAAGTGGTACAAAGAATTCGCGCGAACGTGCAATCTGTTGTAGGCCTTTCGGGGCCCTCTGGGAGCTCTCTTGGGGCCCCCATTGGTGGCGCCTTGGGGCCTTGGGATGGCTCCAAGAGGCTTCGGGATTGCCCCAGACCGCCACAAGACAGCTCCGAGACGGCCGTCGAGCACCACGGGTGAAAGCAAGTGAGGCTAGGGAACAGGGCCTCTGGTAAGCCGCCACTGCGCCCCCTGGACTACCCAGACAGCGAGGGGACCTGAAACGCCCTGGGGCTCCAGGGGCCCCAGATTAGTGAAGTGAAGGTTTTTGCCATGCAAGCACCCCGAAATTCTTCACTTCACTAAACCGGACCCAGGACGAACTCGCTACGCTCCAGTCCCGCGGGAGATCCAAGACTCCCGCCGCCGCCCGGGGACGTTGCTGCATTGCGGTGCTCTGGTCACTGTTAATGGCTTCCGCGGGCTGCAGCGGCTCACTTCCATGACTACCCCGACTCACGAATCCAGTGGTTGGTCTGGCTCTATGGGTTGGTTTCGTTGTGTCGGTTGATTTTATGCTTGGTTGGCGGTCGGTGGATTTCGCGTTGTTCATTGGTGTCGTGAAGTGATTTGTCGTTTGGTTGGTCAGTGCCGTTTTGTTGATTCGTGCCGTTTTGTTGGTTGGTGTCGTTTCGTTGGTTGGTGTCGTTTTGTTGCTTGGTGTCGTTTTGTTGCTTGGTGTCCTTTTGTTGGCCGGTGTCGATTTGTTGGTTTGTTGGTTGGTGTCGGTTTGTTGGTTGGTGTCGTTTTGTTGCTTGGCGTCGTCCTGGCGGCGTGGCCGATAATCGGCGGCCTGCAATGGCGCCAGGATTTGTTTCGGGCCAGCCTTGATCGCCCTCATCATTCTCATATTCGTCAGCGTCAGCACTCGTCGCCCCCATCCGCGCACACATGCGGCCCTGGTACGGCTCTCACGCGGCCCTGCGAAGGCCTTCGCTGTGCTCCCCAAAGCTTTCTGAGGGGCCCCCCAGAGGCCCCAAGAGGGCACTGGAAATTGTCGCTTCCAACTCCGCCAGGCGGAGGTCAACAAGGGTCTCACTGGTGCACTTCCAGGAATCGTCGTTCGATCCTCTTGGGGCCCTCCTGTGGCCTTCTGGGGCCGTCTTGGAAGCTCCGAGCGGCTCCGTGAAGGCGCCGGGCGATATCGCTTCCAATTCCGCCAGGTGGAGTTAGACCAGGGGCTCACTGAGGCCCCTTTTTGCGCCCTCCTCTGCCTTTGAAAAAGCCCCGATGGGGTTCTTCAGTGCCGTCTTAGGGCCCCTAAGAGGCCTCCAGTAGGGTATTGAAGTTATCGCTTCCAACTCCGCCACGCGGAGTTGAACCCAGGGCGGCTCTCTATGGCCCTTTCGGGGCCTTCTTAGAGCTTTTCTGAGGCCCTAAGTGGGCCCTGGGAGGTGTCATTTTCACGGGCGTTGAAAGTGACACCGCGGAGGGCCCTCTTGGGCCCTTCTTGGGGCCTCTCTTGGGTCCCTCTGGGAGCCCTCTTGGTGCCGCCCTGGGGCCTTCTCGGGGCCTTCTTGGAGCCTTTCTGGTGCTCTTTAAGTGGGCCCTGGGAGGTGTCACTTTCACGGGCGCTGAAAGTGACACATCGAAGGGCCCGCTTTCCCTCGTAG